ATATATGAAAGCAAAGTTATAGTTTTTATTAAATCAACTTTATGTAATTCAAATATTCACCTAACTATGCACTGAGAAAGTAATTCTTAATTTTCTTCAAAGTTTAAAATAATAAGTACATGATAAATACATAAGACAAGCAAGTAAATGATAATGATGGTAATATATGATATTGCTTTCATAGAAATTGCTCTACTTTTATAAGTACAATCATTTTTGTTTAAGTATAAATACAGCAGAAATTTTTTAAAGTTAATTTATAATTTTATTTTTTAAGAAATAATTTGATTATTTGTGTAAGGCATAAATTAAGATGTTATATCTTCTAGTTTATTCCATATGTTGATATTTTTGTTACATACAAAAAATTTTGAGAAATAAACACATATTATTTTAATTCACAAATTTAACAACAATTTTTGTATTTAAATTCCTTAAATAATTGTAAAGAGTATATGTATTTTTAACGAGAAAGAAATAAAATGATTTAAAATGATCTATACAAAAATCTATAAAACAAATAATAGTTTTGCATATTTGTATAATACTTTATATCATACTGCATAGAGTCATTTAATTCCTTATGTAATGTTTTTACATTTTAGTATTGCACTTTTAATGAATATACTACTACATATTATATATTACCATCAATAGAATAAATTTCAGTTTAACAGTTTTTTTAAATTTCACTTCATTAATAAATTTATATCAAATAAATAAATAATGGATACACTTTATATAATGTAATGAATGTATTTCAAATATTATTATTTCAAACTTATTTTCTGACAATGTTTTTATACATAAATTTAAGATTTACTATTATAATAGCAAGTTTTGTTCAAAAGAAAAAGTTCTTAAATACAGTTTTGTTATACAATAATTATTTGTTCTAGAATTATAGAAATTGCTGGTGGCAGAGAAGTTTTTTCTCAAAGTCGAGGTAAAGTAGCAGCTAGAAAATCACGCTTTCTTGCTGCATCAAATTCCTTGAATAACGAAGATATTCAAACAGATAATAAATTATCAGTTAAAAGAAATAATAAGTCACCAAACACTCAAACTATATGGGAATTAAGAAGCCGGTAATTT